AGAGCAGTCAAATTTTCCCACCCTCATCCCACCTACACTAGATCAAGTGCGTGCAACAACCTGCTCAATTAGCTCACCAAAGTAGGGATGGTGAAGGATGCACTTGTAACGGTTTCTCAACAGTCTGTGCAATGTGAAACACCCCATCCACCCAAAACTCAAATCCACAGTCAATCTGAAAAGTAAAGGCTGCAAAAGAAATATTCCATATCCCATTTCCACCATTAAAAAAATGTTTTTTTTTTTTTTTGTAAATATAATTTTATTTTTCAAGTATAATAATCAAAAGCGATGTTCCAAATTAACATACATTTTCATAATTTTTAATGATTTTTGTGAGCGTACAATAAAGAAATGGCAAGCACATGTATCAACTCCATCCTCGACATTATCATGTGCCCAACAACAAGATGTGAAATGTTGCCCATGAATATTAGAAACCAGCGGTGTATCAGCCATCCTTTTATAAAAATATTTAAGCGACTCCTCCAGATATTGCTCATGTTTGGGGAAAATTTGATGTTTAAACATTTTCATGAAATTATTTATTTTTATTACAAGTTGTTGAATGCTATTACTGGTTGAGATGATGTCTTTGTTTTTTAGTGTTAGCATTTTGATGGATCCGTGTACGTCTACTTGCAATGAATTCAAAAATTTAAATTAAGTAATCCTTTCCAAATTGTTAGACGATACGCTAAACCAATCCAGTTAGTGGCGAGTATTCAACTAGTCGATCATGGATGAGAAGGCAATATGCCTTTGTATTTATCCCACTCGCAACAGTTAGTTCAGTGGAAATTTTTATATCAGTCGCTCCTGATTTGACACTCTCGTTCTGGTATGAGAGATCAACAACCACAATAGGAGCCTTCGACATGAATTCCATCGGAGATAAAAGAGCTCGGGGTTCTCGATTGTAATAGCTCTCTTGAAATTTTGTATACATGTCATACAAGACAGCAAACCGATTCTCATTATATTTAACATTCAAATTCTCATAGGGATATACTTCAGAATTAAGATATACCTTTGCATTTCTCAAATTGTTTGTAATTAGTTCTCCATTCAATGTAAATGCAATAACAGCAAAACGTGGACGTTCTCTATTTGCAGACATCTTGACATTCCATATATGATGTGTTCCCTGAACCAATGTCGGATTTATATAACAATCCCAACTCCGGAATGCGAGTGGGAGGCTAGCTCCACTCTTTACTACATTAAACATTTTAATTTTAGCACTGTCACTTGGAACGATGTGGGGGATCTTCCAACTTATACTATTTATAGCAATATTATGGATTTTTCCATCAACATTTTTCACAAACATATCATCAGGGTTTTTCGTAAGTAACAGAACGAGCTCATGTTTACAGTTTAAGACGACTTTCTTATAGTCTTCAGCGAACCCCATCAACATTTTTAAAGGTACAGAAAAACTGAAATGTCCTCCAGAAGGGATATTGTCCCCGCCACTCCACCCCGCATTGCGATAAGCCGCTCCTTCCTGTTGGCCGACTGAGAGAAAGTTCATAATAGTCGTTGTTATTCCAGTAAAACGTGTCCTATCCAATTCACAACCATTCAACTCATATCTTATTTCATCCAGAAAATAGGCCATGCAATTATTTTTGAGCAAACCGCTAACGCCATTTGTACTAGTCGTTCCTGTATTTGTTTCAATAATTTTGCTAAGCGTTCCTTCAAAATGGAGAAAATTTTCACATGGAAGGACATACAAATCTTGGTTATGAAAACTGATCCGTACTTCATCATTTGCTTTGAAGTTCTGCTGATATGGATAATATGAATGAAACTCTTTTTTAATAATAGATTCATCGTTAGCAGGCTTTTCCTGGACATAAAAGATCTCATTCATTTGAATATTAGTTGATAAACTTTATTTAATATTAAATCCCAACGATTTCAAAATCAATTTATTTTTTAATGTGAGTGCCGGGCGTTGTTGTGAAGATGATGGTGCTTTCACTTCAGCTTTAGATTTGATAATGTTATCAAAGGATCGATGAGTACCCCTTTTATTGTAAATAATCATTCTGTCGGTCGTAAGTGGAGACGGATTGATACAGTTTCTCCACGCAAATTAACTAAATCTCCGTCCTGATCAGTTATCCGTATTTCTAGTGTGCTTATTTCTCTGGTGTTCACAGGCAAATAAATCAAATTTCGTGGTGTTATGTTCATTTTATATCCAGGGGGGACATTGATTCCAAATTCATGAAGCACATGATTTGATTTATTCCCTACATATGACCCGCTTATAATGTTGCATTCCAATCTAACAGAATTTATTTTTAAAATATTGACGGGATTATCCGAGATGTAAACTTCTTTCTCATGTGGTCTTAATTTTCGTTTATTAAATCCAAATAAACGACCAATTGATCGTTCATGATTAAAATATACGGTCTCATTTTTAGTAATAACTTGAACTTGTAAAGTGCTGATATTACACTCTATTTTTATACTGTCTTGAAGCTCATACTCCTTGAGCTTATTAATAATATATTTTGAAATATCATCAAACTCATATGAGCCAATTGGTATTTCAATGACTTTGTTCCCAATATGAAATAAGTTGTTCCCCTTATCAACATTCGGTATAGAATTGAATGTATAAAAATCAATTAGAGCACATTCATAATTACGTTTTAGTTCAATTTGTGGGAAAAAATTCTCGCTAAGTACAGATGTATTACCATTTAGAGCTATTGTCAATGATGTAGTCATTATGATGCTTGAGTCTGAACTGACTTTATTCACAATAATATTATTATATTTATATTATCATTATTATTTATTCAAGTATAATAAATTGATCGAATCCTTTTCTATATCGTCCAGCTTTCATATCATCGTCTTTAGAGATTACAAGAAATCCAAATTTATCGTCCCAACACTTTCATGAAATTTCCATTATGTTTCAAAATTCATATCAAAATGAACATGATCTCGATATATGTGACGAAGGTTCATATCGTCCTGCTTAAACATTATAATAAAATTTGCATTATCTCGTATTAAATGTTTTGGAATATGTGTATACGTTTGACATAAATAGAATGAATCAATATTTCTATGTCGCCCATACAAAAATAATTGCGAATAGCAGTTTGCTTTTCACACGCTACGTCATCAAACACCATGATGGAATTGTTTTTAGCTTCCTCTGGTGACAAAACGTTGTCATTCGCTGAAAATGTATAATATCCCATTCCTCGTATTGGTTTTACAAGTTTTTCCAAATACTCATATTTCGGTTGATATAAACTCTTTGAATACACGTATATATTTTCGAATTTCAGGCCGTTTGGGTCCTCGATTAAGGCAATCATCACATTAGTTTTTCCGCAATTGGACGGACCTACCACCAAAGCTCTGATCGTGTTTGGGAGCAGTGAACTGTGACGCCGATGTTTACTCTCCCCATCACCACCACTTTCAATGTTTTTTACTATGATTTTTTTATTTTGTCTTAATAAACGCATGTTTTAGAGATAAGTACTTCATTCAAAGACAACCAGTCGTTAATTGAGATTGATATAAAATGGGTAAACATTTTTATAATATTACCAGTCATAAATCAAATGTCAAACAGGGTACAGGTCTCATAAATAATTTAATAAACACTCTTCCCTTTGAGGCTCATATACCTGGGTATAATTACTGTGGACCTGGTACGAAGCTAGAGAAACGATTAGCTCGCGGTGATCGGGGTATCAACGGCTTAGACGAAGCTTGTAGGGAACACGATATAGCATATTCAAATACAAAGGATTTGGGGGAACGTCATAAAGCAGACTCGATTTTAATTGATAGGTGTTCGGCTGGGGGGGGGGGAATTCTTCCTTCAATTTCCAGATAAGCACAAAACTATTAAAAAAACACTCCCGCGCCGCAGTCAGCGAAAACACCGTAGAAGTAGCGAAAAGTCACCACCAAACGAAGAGAAATAGTAGGCCGGGGGGCGTGGTTATTTTCAATACAAATCAGTCTGGACTTGGTCCGCTTTATTAGACTTCAATATAGGAATTAAAATGTACAAGTTGGAGTGAGAGATCAGAACCGCCGATCGCCCAGAGTCTAGAAGAGCGAGAGAGCAAGCTGCGCAAGAGCGCAAGCTGAGAGCGAGAGCGCGCTGAGGAGCTTTGCAGAAGCGGGAGCGCTTCGGAGTCGCGCGGGGGGGAAACGAAAGCTCCTGACCTGAACATTCCGCCCCCCTTGCAATCACTATGGGTTGCAATAAAGTCTGCTCCTCATTACGGCGTGTGACAGGCCCCGGACAGGACCCATCCAAATACGGTGCTTTGGGCCACCGGCAATCCATCCTGCACTTTCAGGAACCCAGGCTGCATAACTTTGGGGTACACATCCGCGCCCAGGATGACGGAGATCGTAGCCGGAAGGTAGAACCGTTCATCAGCCAAGGTGATGTCCTTGAAATAGGACCGCACAGTCTCATCCAACTGTCGGATCGGAGTGCGGACGCGCACGTGAGGCTCCACTTTGAAAACGAGGTCGAGCCGGACATGGGCGTTCGTTTTCGAGCCGACGGTGGCTGAGCAGATCTGTTCAGCACCCACCGCTGTCGTTGAAAGTCGCAAAGAAGTCGCCAGCGACGCATCAATGCAGCTCATAGGCGTGCATGGATCGATAAGCGCCGCTGTGTCGAACACTCGCGTCCCGGTGTCAATCCGCACCAGCGCGGTCGGGAGGAGGTTCACGCGGTATCGCTGAAGCAACGTGGCCAGTGAAGGCCCTGTCGGAACTCCCTGCGGGGCGAATGCCGCGGTTCGTGGAGAGGCCGACGAATGCCGTGGAGAGGCCGAAGAATGCCGAGGAGCGGCCGACGAAAGCTGAAGAGAGGCCGCAGAGCGCCGAGGAGAGGCCGAAGAGCGCCGAGGAGAGGTCGTAAATACAGCGGCTGCTCCTGCATATGCAGCAGTGTGTGGTGCTCTCCGTTGCAGATCTTGCACCTATCGGCACGGCGGCACGCTCCATCCGAATGCTCGTGAGCCAAGCAGTTGGCGCAATAGCGATTCGCGATTACCGCGCGGAGCCTCTTTTCGATGCTCAGCCGCAAGAATCTGCGGCACCTCCGTAGAGGGTGGACTCCGTGGCAGACTCGGCAACGGTAGGAATTTATACCTCGTGTACGTCTGCTCTCCATTTCGACGGCGCTACGTAGACGTGGGAACATTGTTTATAATCTGGAGTAGGAAACCAAAAAAACGAATTAGTATGGAGTCGAAAATATGACTTAGAACTAGCGACAGAAGCAAACTACGGAGTGAGGATACGGCTAGTTATTGAGATTTTTCGGAGGTCGCCCCCGGAAGCAATACGACCTTTGCGACAGGGCGCTTAACGATTCCCCGAGCAGTACGAATATTCACTACTCGGACATGACCATCGGGTCCGGGAAACACGGAGTCAATCCTGCCGAGCTGCCACTCAGTGGATGGCAGATTATCGTCCTTAATTATAACCATCTCGCCCACCTCGAGATTTCTTGTGGGGACTTGCCACTTTGTTCGCTTGTGGAGCTCCTTAAGGTACTGTTCCTTCCATCTCAGGCGGAATTGCTGATGAAGGGCCTTAAGGTGCTGCCACCGGTTGATAATAGAAGTGGACGCACCCTTAATTTCGGGTTCGACGGTGGCGAGAAGGGGTCCACCTACTAGAAAATGACCTGGCGTGAGTGCGAACAAGTCTGTGGGGTCTTCGGACATCGGGGCGAGTGGACGCGAATTTAGACAGGCCTCAATCTTGGCCAGCAATGTGGAAAGTTCTTCGAACGTATACTTTCGAGTGGCTGTGGATTTATAAAACAGCGTCTTGAAGCTTTTAACTCCAGCTTCCCATAATCCTCCCATGTGCGGGGCTCCTGGTGGTATGAATTGCCACAGGAGTTCCTGGTGACTATAAGCATTCGTCACGGACTCCTTGACAGCTTGCAGAAATTCACGCGACAGCACTGCGGCTGCACCAACAAAGGTCTTCCCATTGTCCGACTGAACTTGTCGAGGGCACCCTCTCCGCGAAACGAATCGGGCGAATGCTGCGAGAAATTTCTCTGTTGTGAGGTCCGAAGTAGGCTCTAAATGGATGGCCTTCGTGGAGAAACATACAAACACCAGCACATAGCCCTTGGTAATCAGGCAGGCTCTCCCGGTGTAGTTCTTTATATCAAACGGTCCGGCATAATCCATGCCCGTGTACGTAAAAGGCCGCGAAAAGGACGTTCTTTCTTTTGGTAATTCGCCCATGAGTTGGGTCTGCAACTTCTTTTTGTGGATCACACATATTTTGCAGGAGAAAATTACAGACTTGATTAAGTTCTTGACCCTTGGTATCCAGAATTTTGAGCGGATCAGGCGTACCATTAGCTGATTACCGCCGTGCAAGGAGATGCGATGCGTAAAGGATACAAGGAGACGCGCCAACTGACAGTTGTATGGAAGAAAGATCGGATGCCGTTCATCATATTGGAGGACTTCGGAGGCCGTCACCCGACCACACGCCCTGATGAGGCCGTGAGGATCAAGGAAGGGATTCATGTTCTTAATAGAACTGGATGCTGGAATTGGCCGCTTTTGGCTCAGGCAGGCATATTCAAGCGCAAAGTATCTGCGCTGTGTTATGAAAATTAGGAGTCGCTCAGCTGTGGAAATCTCTGTATTGGATAGCTGCAGCTCGCCTGGAATAGGTCGTTTTTGCGAGCGCTGTATGAAGCGCTGAACATAGGCGAAAACTCGTAGTGCCTTATCGAGCTTGGAGAACCGCTCAAGCATGTCCTGCTCCGGGCATGCTAAATGGCAACGTAGGGGTCGCTTCTCGATGTGGATGTCGGGAACTGATTCATAAGGTGCAGGCCAGGAGTCTTGTGGCTGAGTTAGCCATGAAGGCCCATGCCACCATAGCTCACTGGTAGCTAACTCTTCAGCCGCTACTTCACGACTGGCTAGATCTGCTGGGTTGTGCTCGGAACGCACGTGAGACCACTGGCTGGCATCAGTATTTTGCGACGAAGGTCGTCCACTGACATGGTGGCTTGTTCAACCATGCCAGCACAATAGTGGAATCAGTCCATAGAAAAGATTCCATACGACCGAAAGGAATCTGAGGCAGAATTGCAGTCCACAAGTCTGCCAGAAGGACGGCTCCACACAGTTCTAGACGCGGGAGCGAGACGGTTTTTACCGGAGCGACTTTGGTCTTTGACGTTAGAAGATTTGATGAAATGATTCCATCACGCTGGATGCGCACGTAAATCGCTGCGCCATAAGCCTTTTGGGAGGCATCACAGAAACCATGGATTTGGACTTGTACACCTGGTTGAAAATGTACCCAACGCGGGATGCGAACTTGGTGGAGGAAACTGTAGCTCCGAAGGAAATCATGCCAGCGATGTAGTAGTTCTGCAGGAAGAAACTCATCCCATTCGACGCTGGCTAACCAGATATCCTGCATCAGGATTTTGGCCTGAACCACAAATGGGGAGAGCCACCCAGCTGGGTCGAACAATTTCGCGATTTGGGATAAGACGTCGCGTTTCGAATAGTTTGCCTGAATGGTGACCTCTGTTGGGACAAAATAGAACTCATCCGTCGTAGCGTTCCACCGTACTCCCAATGTCTTAGTGGTGCTGACCTCTTCGAGATCAAGAAAATCAGTCGAAAGTAGATGCTCTTTAGGAAGTGCTTTAAGGAGTGCACGTTCATTCGATGTCCACTTGCGGAGAGGGAATCCAGCTGAGTCCAGAGCTGCTTGCAGCTCCCGAATAGCTAAAATAGCTTCAGCCTCTGTATGGGCTCCTGCTAGCACATCGTCGACATACATATAATTTGAAATTATATGCGACGCCCGTGGATATTGGGCGTTGACATCGTCGGACAATTGTTGCAGTGTTCGTAGGGCCAGGAAAGGGGCACAATTCACTCCAAACGTGACCATCTGAAGCTCGAAGTCGGATATATCCCCTTGGCCATTTCGAAAGAGAATTCTCTGAAACGGAGTGTGCTCTTGGTTTAGGAGAATTTGCCGATACATCTTGGTGATGTCGGCATTGAAAACGAATTTAAACGTCCGCCACTTCAGGATTTGAAGAGTGAGATCGGACTGCAGTACTGGCCCTGGATACAGAATGTCATTAAGGCTGTTCCCATTGGAAGAAGGACTGGATGCGTTGAAAACTACGCGAACTTTCGTGGTCGCACTTTCGGGCTTAAATACTGCATGATGGGGGAGATAGAAATTTATCTTGTCGGTATTCGGAGGCACCGGCTTCATATGTCCAAGATCGATATATTCTTGGATCACTGAGTCATAAGTGTCTTTGAGAGCCGGCTCCTTCTTCAAGCGAGTCTCATTACTCAGAAACTGTGCGAGTGCGGAACTCCTGGAATGCCCCAAGTCAATGTGCTCTGAATATTTGAAGGGCAGGGATACTATATATTTCCCGTCGCAGGATCTGGTAGTTGTTCGGACGAAAAAGTCTTCACACAACTTGTCCGTCTCCTTTACCAGTCTACATGGAAGGTCCTCCACCTCCCAAAATTTTGTGAGAAGTGTTTCCATGGTTACTTCGGACTCTATGGATATCTGTGTGGTAAAAGACGAAACCCTACTAGTGGTTGAAGACAATGGGCCGGTCAAAATCCACCCGAAAATGGTCTCTTGCGCTAATAAAGACCCACATACGTTTGGCCTCCAGCCCGATAGCAGGACAGACGGAAGAATATCCGCACCTAGAAGAAGGTCTATCTGAGACGGCTGGAAAAACGACGGATCTGCCAATGGCATATTTGGCAGCCTATCGAGGATGTTTCGATCAATTGTGCTTGTCGGAAGATTGCCGGCCAGGTTCGGCAGCACAAACGCCGTCGTGTCGATCTTGAGCATAGGTTTGGCCGGAGTGCCCATCTGGAAATGACACATTTTTTGTGAGACACCGGAATTGGCTTGGTTGAGCCCTGTGACTCTTGTTGTTACGGCTTGAAATGGAAGTTTAATCCGGTTGGCAAGCCTCTCAGAAATGAAAGTGCCTTCGGAGCCTGAATCTATCAGGGCACGTGCTGGAAAATTCTCTCCTCGGTGGCACACATGAACTATGGCCGTACCTAGAAGTACTCCTTGTTGGTTGGAGGCGAAATGAACTGACGTGTTTGAGATTGGCTGCTCTGGAGGGTGAGCCGGCGCTGTGCTGACAGCGTTAGACGGAGTATCTTTGTGCAAGAGCGTATTATGCCGTCCCCTGCATGTGAAACAACAATGCCTGCTCGGGCATTCACGAAGATTATGTCCCCTTGCAAAGCAATTAAGGCACAGTCTCTTTTGTTTAATATATGATGCTCTTTGTGGTTGAGTCATCTGCAAAAAGCGAGGACAAAGCCGAACTGGATGAGGCTCTCGGGAGCAGAGATCACAAAATCGTGCGCGTGGCCCGACTTGTGTCTCGAAGGTATTTACCCTCCTTGGTTGTGCACTTCTGGGCTCCCTTGAATGCTGTGTGCTGGAAGAATTGGGTCGGACATCCTCAATTGCTTCTAACGTCCGATATCTCTCCTCGAGAAAGGAATTCATTTCTTCCCAGGCTGGGATCGCGGACTTATTGGTCAAGGACTGCTCCCATAACGAGAGAGTGACCTTCGGCCACTTGGATTAGAAAAATTAGAAGGCAGTCCCAATTTTCCGTGGAAATTTGTGAATGTTCGAGGGCTATCAAGCTCCCTTGGATTGTGCTCTGCAGATCTTTCAAGGCCGTGCCTGATTCACTGCCTAGGGTCGGAAGACTAAACAGGATTTTTAGTTGGCTGTTTACCAACAATCGCTTATTTTCAAAGCGATCCTGAAGCGCTGACCACGCGGATTGGAACCCATCATTAGTCAGCGGAGACTTGGCCGCAATGGCGTGAGCTTCGCCGCTAGTTTTAGCGTTTAAGTGGAATAGCTTTCCCACTGGAGTTAACCTGGAATTGTTTACATAAATGGCCGTAAACAGGTCACGAAAGGTGGGCAAGCGCAGATAATCTCCGTCAAAGATCTCTGTATCGCATGGCGGAAGACTGCAACCCCTCGAGAATGTCTCTGTCGGCGGAGCTGTTCTTGGCGGTGAAGTGGGGGCGGACATACGGTCGATGTCTTCATTTAGCTTCGCAGCACATCTTTCGAACACCGCATAGCAGTGCTCATATTTGTTTTGCAGTAACGGAAGATTTCCGCTACCTCCTTCGCGAAGAGCTGCTTTGGAAGCGGTTTCATACTCCCGTTCAACCTTTTCCCATAAGGATTGTATCTGATCCAGACGGATCTTTACGGTAAACAAATTAGGCTCGGAAGAGGATGCCGTAAATATCTGGCTTTCAAATTTGCTAAGACGGTCGCTAGTTGCTATGAACTCAAGCAAAATAACGTCTAAAGTGTTCTTGGCTTTGGATCTCAAACTACTTGACGGTCCCGCGCCCGTGTTTCTCGGACTCGGTTCCCGCCTTTGACTTCCATCTATTGAAGGCGCTAACTGCGCTGCCTCCTTCTTCTGACTCGCGTCTTGCGGAATTGGTTCTTGTCCTTCCGACATTTTTTTTTTCTTTTTGGATTGGATTGGCAAGAATATGCCGTAGAATTCGAATGTTAGACTTAGTTGTGGTCAATACCGTCAACTAAAAATCGCCGAAGTAGAAATGTGAGACGGTAAAAACGAAGCGAATATGGATTGCAAGAATATGCCGCAGAACTAGGATGGTAGATGGTAGATGGCGGGATTAATCAATCTCAGAATTAACCAATAAAATTCGAATCGTAGAATTATTTGCTCCCTATACCGTCAACTAAATCGAAGAAGTAGAAATGTGAGACGGTCAAAACGAAACGAATATGGATGGCAAGAATATGCCGCAGAACTGGGATGGTAGATGGATGGTGGATGGTGGATGGTGGAATTAACCAATCTCAGAATTGCAAGTAAATAAACTGGAAAAAATTTACTTGACGTGGAAGCGACGATAACTGAAAATATGTGTAGCGGACTCACTATCAATTGGAGCAAATGCGACGAGAATGGAAAATTTATTTGTAGTAGAGCCAATATTAATTGGAGCAAATGCGACGAGAATCGAAATTTATTTATAGTGGAGCCAATATTAATTGGAGCAAATGCGACGAGAATCGAAATTAATTATATTTATAAATAATTGCGGAATGGAACTGCCGAGTTGTTTATTATTTTCGTATTTAATAATAACCCAATAAATGCAAAGAAAATATATATGGAGTACCATTGACAATTGCGGATATTTAATCGCGTGCAAAACTTTAAAAGGTATTAAATGAGCTATTAATTGATTAATTATTAAATAATAAAAATATTAATTATAAAGAAAAAAATAATTAAATCGGAATGGTGGGAATGGAACACCTGACCCTTTTTTCCCAACACAATATTCGTTGGGTTACGCTGCCGGCGATGTAAAGCTCTTGTGTATGTAAGTAGACAATTATATGTCGCGGCGGCAGCGGAACTATGCAAGGCGCAACAATGAAATGCACAAAAATACGGACACTGGTTTACAAATTTTTGCAATATTTTATTCTTTATTATATTTTGATTTTTTTTTTTTTTTTTTAAATGTTGTATGTAATGGTTTTTGTATGGGGGAGTTTATATGGAGAAAATATAAGTAGGGTAAGGTGGGGTAAAGCCGACCTAGTAAATGGTTTTGGCTATAAAATGCTTATTTTACATCGGATAAAATCGTTATTTATACCAAATTAAAGGTTAGACTTTTGCGCAACGTTCTATGCATAGCATTTTATTCATAACTTTGAAAAGTTTTGAGATACAAGCGTTTTACGAAAAAGTTCATTTTTGCTATGTTCAAAAATGATGGGGTAAACCCGACCGCCTATGTTTTTGGTTGATTTAGTACAGATATAACCTAAATATAGGTTTTGCAATGATAAATCAATCAATGTTATGTTATATAATGGTAATAAAAGATAAAAGAATTAAAAAAATTAAAATAGCAAAATAATTAATCAGTATCATCTGATTCGCTGCTTAAATAGCTTGCTGGCGTTTTTTGGTTTGAGTTGAACGTCTGGTTGGCTGCGATGTTGATGGTTTTGGTGTGATTGTTGTTTTTTTTGGATTTTTTGCGGCAGGATTTGCCCCACCACGTAATTTTTCATAAAAACGCAATTAAAAAAGAAATTATGAAAAAAATGAACCAAACTTATATGCACTTTGTAGGACTTTATTCAAAGAATCTAAATCCACTTACCTTTTCATGCGATAACTTTGACAAAAAGAAATATCCTGCAGTTAATTATGCACAAAAATGAAATTCAAAATTGTGAAAACAAACTTTTTGTCGTTTGACCATCTCAATGTTGACTAATAAAATGCTGTCATACCACCATTTACATTGTTTTCGATGCTCTACACGACAACACTAATATTATTTTGCGTAGTGCTTCCGATTTTCGAAAACAGAGGGAGGTCGGGTTTACCCACACTGTCGGCTTTACCCCACATTACCCTACTTATATGGATTTATATTATAGCACTGGATAGCTATTCGTAGGCAGCGGACTGTATTTTGATTGTTAATAAATCCTTATTATTGGAATTTTTATTTTTTTTATTGTGCGAAATCAAATCAATGTCTTTATGTAGACCGATGTATGGACATATGTATGTATGAATTTTAATTTTGTGTCGGAACCGTTTTGTACATTGATGTACGGATAAATGCCAATATGTATAGAGGAAAGCGGACGAAAAAGAATATGGCGACGTTTAAAACGGAGACGGATTGAAAAAATTTGCCAATTTTATGAAATGGAAAATAAGAAATGGAAAATTCCTCAACTGCCGTTGTCAGGAAAACTCGCTCTTGGAGTCGACACGGAAATTAATCTTGCAGCAGAGTGACCGAAATTAATTGTTCGGACTACTGCTGAAGCTCGGCAGCGAGGGGGGCGACGGAATACGGAGTACTTATCTTGGAAGCAGAAAAACGCCGAGAACTGCTGGTGAAGCGGAGTTATAGAAAAAATACGGAATCCAAAATCCAAAAAAATCCAAAATCCAAAAAATCCGGAAATCCAAATAATCCAAGATCCGGCTCTGTAGGACCAAATGTTCGGCTGGGGGGGGAATTCTTCCTTCAATTTCCAGATAAGCACAAAACTATTAAAAAAACACTCCCGCGCCGCAGTCAGCGAAAACACCGTAGAAGTAGCGAAAAGTCACCACCAAACGAAGAGAAATAGTAGGCCGGGGGGCGTGGTTATTTTCAATACAAATCAGTCTGGACTTGGTCCGCTTTATTAGACTTCAATATAGGAATTAAAATGTACAAGTTGGAGTGAGAGATCAGAACCGCCGATCGCCCAGAGTCGAAAGCCTCCGCTAGAAGAGCGAGAGAGCAAGCTGCGCAAGAGCGCAAGCTGAGAGCGTGTAGTAGCCAAGAGGCAGGTGCTCACTAGATACTGTGGGTTTTCCAGTGTATAATCGGATCGGTATTTGTGCACTTCTTGCTATGCTCGGTTCAAAGCTCGTCGGATATGGCGTGGGCCTTCCTCACCGATAATAAGTCACACCCTTTCACTACTGTAATAAAAGTTTAAGTGCACATTCTGTAAACTAAATGATTGGTCAACGGTTGAATTAATCGGACGTACGGACGGACCCTAAAGAGTAGGTATAAGAGAGGAACACTCGCGTTGTGGGTGGCTGAGGTGTCGTTCGCCCCCACGTCTTTACCCTCCCTGCCGTGGTAAACTCTGATAAATTAAGTGTTACCCCTTTACTAAGTTCATCTTTTCGATCTTAGCTCATTCTAAAGTTATTCGACATCCACTTGCTGTATTAACATAGACCAAAAATATACGTTTTTACTCCATTATTATTTCGTTAAACTTCAGGATAATTCATAATTCTGTCTCTTACAATTATTCATCATTTTCTTAACCTCTCTAGTCCCCAGCTATTTATCTCTACGTTAATTGAAATTTAAGTAAACACACGCGTAAATATGCGGCTCGCTTAGGATCCCGTTTAAATTATACATACGATCGATATATATTTACAGAATAAATCAAAAATGCGGCCTTTGTGCCGATTTACTTTCGATATATTGACTTACGCTCAGATCCTCCGCTGCTGGTTCGTTGGGCCCATCGAAGTTGCAGGTGCTGATGGCTGTTAGTTGGAAAGTTCAGAAACGATATTTAAATGGGACGCTCGCGTTCGCATTCACATATTACGCTAAATGGCAGAAAAGCAACAACAATATCAGTTACTTTCTAGCTAACGTTACGCATTACTCTAAATTTAATCGATCTCAAAACTTCTCTACATCCTTCGGGTTACTGGAATCATCCAGCGTGAGCGCGCTGCTCGCCGCGACGCGCCTCCAACTTCTTCGACAGGTCACATGCCTGCCGCGCAAGCGAGCTCTCTATCCGGCTGCGCCTGCTCCTGCCTAGTCTCCGCTCAGCTACCTTCGCTGCACCTCCACTGTTCCTACTGGCTTATGCTCGAAAAGGTAATGCTTAGCCGCTGTCCATACAGCCGAATCGCCTTAGTTGGGGCTGCACGAGGCCGGTTACATTACTCCGAGAACTCAGACACAGGCCGCCTCTGGTCTGACTCTTGGAGATTTCTCGCTCCCGGTTTAGTGCGGTCGCACTCGGATCGCTATAGCTCCTTGGCAGCCGACGTGGCAAAGCAGAGGTACCCAAAAAGTAGGGTTACGCGCACGTGCTGCGTTGGCCGCACGTCGACGTCTCTGCCGCTGTAGGGCCTCCGAAAAGTTAGGTTATGGCCGCTCGGTTGCACCGCGCCGCCTTGTTCGCTGATCGCCAACTTCTGCCGCGTGTGGCTGCCACGCCGGCGATACGCCCACGCCTAGCGAAGGACGTAAGAGCCGTCGCCTAGCGCCAAACTAGCCCTGCACAACAAAAGGGTTAACTATACTATAAACTCTGCCGTTCCGTAGTTAATATTTACCCGTTCTCACTCGTGCACAACACTTATTAAGTTTTGTCACTGGTCTCTTGCTGGCACTTTACTATTAATTCGATTGAAACTGTATACTCCACGTGCCGGAATTATTATAGTAAAAGTGATCTACGATGCGTGTGCTTTGCTCTGGTTTTCAATTTCAAGTGAGCGAGCGTCACAAAATTTCTCTACACGCAGCGTGCCTTGCATAGCAAACGAGCCAAAAGCTACGGGACTTTTCCCAAATCCTCTCTCGCGCTCTCGATGCTGGAGGACTGGAGGAAGGAAAAATAAGCAAAAAATCGTACGATTTCGCTGGCGCTGCGAATGCAGGTAGAAGAAAAACGGCATGTTCTGGAAGGCGCTACCCTACACTCTAGTCGCGGCATATGCGTTTCGATGGGTCGGTTCTATCATTTAAACTTACGATTATTCTTATTTATATTTTCCTATTTGTTTTCTCTGCCCTTACCCTCTGACCCCTACACCACAGTTAACTCATCGAGAGTCCTACTCGAAGAGGTTTTAACTGAAAAAGGTCAGACAAGAATCGTTCTAGCTCTTTATGTCTTTCAGGTGATACACCCCTAAGGATTTGCCGACATCGTTTTCTAATTCATAGTAAAAATGGCTAAGCTTCTTAGTAACTGTCGCTTTCATAAAGACTGGAGCCAGCTTACTGTTGAACTGTTTAGCCGCATTGCTTTGCGCAAAACTGCGGGCATACACAGTGTCACCGACTTTAAAACATGCTGAACGCGAGCGCAAATTATAAACTTTTGCATTGTTTTCATGCGTTTCCTTAATTTTCTTCTGTGCTTGACTACGTGCTAGCTGCATGACATCAGGCGTTTTCAACAAGGTATCATCCTGTAACGACTTAATGTTTCTTAGTAATTCATAGTCCTTTCCGTTCATGATCATATTTTGACCAAAACACAAATAATAAGTGAAAATCCGGTGCTACGATGATTGTTCGCTCTTAAAGATGCGCTAATTTCGTCTATATTCCTATCCCAATCGGTATGATCAGTCCCGATATAAGCTCTTATGGCGGCCAGTACGGATCTATTTACTCGCTCGCTCGCGTTGGCTTCGGGAGAGTAAATGGCTGTACACACATGTGCTACGCCGAATCGCGTTAGGAAAGCCTTAAAATATCCAGATTTAAACTGTGATCCGTTGTCCGTTAGTATGGATTCCGGAACTCCGAATGTACAGAAGACGTATTTCACCAAAAAGTCGCAAATTCTATCAGAAGTAAACTTTCGTAATGGGTGCAAGAAGTGAAACTTCGTGAAGTGATCGACGATAATAAGCAGACCTATGTTACCGCTCTTGGATCGCGGATATGGTCCTAAGAGATCCATATAAAGTTTCTGAAACGGTCTTTGGGAAGTTGTTGGATTCCCCATGGGTGGTCTTAATATTTGATTAGGACTTTTGGTCGACTTGCAAATGCAACAGTTAGCTACGTAATCACGGATTTGGGTCACCATACCAGGCCAAAATAAATAACGCTTCAATTTCTCAATCATTTTGGACATGCCTACATGAGCTGAATCTGGGGCATCGTGTGCTCGGTACAAGATTGCGTTTCGTAAGGCTGTCGGGACCCAGAGCTTCCAAGCATCCGCTGTTTGTAGGGCATCTCCCTTTGCGATTTCTGTTCGTTTGTATACAAATTTACCCGATATTTTCAGATCAGGCAATCTTGCTTGATTTGTTTGGATTTGGTCGATCAGGCTTAGGTATTCCTCCGAATCGAATTCGCTAGATGACAAATCAATGATTGGGCCTGCGTCTGTGACTTCCTCTAGGTTAGATTCTTCACAACGCGACAGCGCATCCGCAACTACGTTCTGCGAGCCGCTTCTGTGCTTTATACTAAATGAGAAACCCTGCAGCTGGATTGACCATCTAGCCAATCGTCCTGACAGGTCTTTCTGCTTCATCAGCCACTGTAAGGACGCGTGATCTGTCACTACACAAAATTCCTGCCCCGCTATATAAGCACGAAACTTTTTAATCCCTCTAATCACTGCTAAGCACTCTAGTTCGGTCACAGAATAGTTTCGCTGTGCTTTCGTCAGCTTCTCTGACATGTACGCTATTGGTAACTCAACGCCGTCTTCATTTTCTTGGGCTAATACGCATCCAAGTCCATACAGACTAGCATCGCAAAGCAATATGAACTTATTATGAAAATCTGGGGTTCCTAACACAGGTGAGGAGGTCAGTTTCGACTTCACTAATTTAAATGCCTCTTCACCTTCCGGATCCCAGCTAAACTTACGGTTCTTCTTAAGCAATTCCGTGAGTGGTAAGGTGATCGTAGCATAATTGTCTATGAATCGCCTATACCAGCCTGCTAGTCCTAGGAACCTGCGAAGTTGTTTGACTGTCGTCGGGATCGGAAATGTGTCGATTGCGCTAACTTTGCCTGGATCGACTTTGATCTGTCCATACCCTATGATAAAGCCTAAGTATTTAATATCGGTCATACAAAACTTCGACTTCGCTATATTGATAGTTAAATTAGCTTGCCTCAACTTCACCGCGATTTCTTCTAACAACACCATGTGGGACTCGAAATCTTCCGACAGAATTAATAAATCGTCTAGGTATACGAATACCCTGTGACGGTTAGGTCATTCCTCGGGGCTCAAGGATGGCCAGGGTTCGTCTCAGAAATTTATTTGTTGTCTGAGGTGGTTGCTGAAAGAGATGCCGACCCGGTCCCAGAGTAGAACGCCGAGAAATATGCCGTAACTGTAATTATCTGTTTATTGCCTCCAACATTACAAGTGTTAAAAAAGATTGGATTTAGTCTGCTGCCGTGGGTAGTCGCTCTGGAACGCCGCACTTCAGGGTCAGGTACATCCTTCCCGCTCGGGTCGACAGTGTCGGTGAAACGCCGGTGCGCGGATGCCCCTCAGATCTCCTAGAGTGAGAATAGCTGGTGGAGGCCCTCAGGTCTGCCAGTTAGTGGAATAACTGGTTAGCGGAGACCCTGAGATCTTCCAGTTAGCGAGCAGATTTGTGGAGTCCCTAAGGTCTTCCAATCTTTAGAAGTTTGTAGAGGCCCTAAGGTCTTCTAAGATGGAGAAGTTTGTAGAGGCCCTAAGGTCTTCTAAGATGAGAAGTTTGTAGAGGCCCTAAGGTCTTCTAAGATGAGAAGTTTGTAGAGGCCCTAAGGTCTTCTAAGATGAGAGGTTGTTAGAGGCCCTAAGGTCTTCTAAGATTGAGAAGTTTGTAGAGGCCCTAAGGTCTTCTAAGTTTGTAGAGGCCCTAAGGTCTTCTAAAAGAGAGAAGGTTTTAGAGGCCCTCAGGTCTTCTAAGTTTGAGACGTGCACGGAGGCCCTAAGGTCTACCGAGATATATAGAGACTTATAGGGAGGCCCTTAGGTCTTCCAATATTGAGACGTACAGAGAGGCCCTAAGGTCTTCCACAAGTTATAGACGTAAGATATGGTCGGGGTCCGACTATGGGTTACCGCTTACCAATATACCTTACTTAACCGTGCTCCTTGGGTGACTCCTTCCTGTTGGCTTCCCCTTAGCTCCTGGTAGAGGACTTGGCCGATCGCTGGCCGAAAACTGAATGCTTTTCAAGGGCTGAGGCTCGCCTTATATAGGGCTCCGGCAGGGTCGAGTGTGACCGCCGCACCCGAAGATATTTTGCCATAATAGTGTGGCCAGGCCCTTCCTGGGCCAGTGTGACCATTTGGGCGCGATCATGGCGCGCGCGCGCATTCAATTCAAATCTATTCCATATTCTATATTCATTGTTTTCTATTGTGTATTCCTTATTTTATATCTTACGTATATATTTGTGCGCGTCTGCGCGTCACAACCCTAGGGCGCAAATGTGTTGGTATCACGGCGTCCATCAGTCTGCATAGTGTTTGTGTTGCGTTACACAGGCCGAACGGCATTACTTTGTATTGATACAAAGGCCTGTTGGGGATCGTGAACGCTGTGCACTGCCTGGACTTCTCCTCGAGTGGAATCTGCCAGAATGCGTGTTTCATATCGAGACCCGTTATGTAACGCGCTGGTGGCAATCTGCTAAGGATTCCGTCTACGTGAGGGAGTGGATAGGCGTCTTTTATGGTTAGCTTGTTCACCTCCCTGGAGTCCAAACATAACCGAACTTTTTCTCCTCTCTTCACCAGCACGCAGTTACTGCTCCACGGGCTTCGAGATTCTTCGATCGCGCCTAACGCTAACATATTCTCTACTTCGGCAAACATAAGTTTCTCCTTAGCTGGTGAGATGGGCCAATGCCTCTGTTTTACCGGCTTCGCTTGACCAACGTCTATGGAATGTTCAATTAGTTGAGTTCGACCTAATCCTTCTGACTCGTAAGAGGGAAGCTTAGAGATTACAGTCTCTAGCCTCTTCTGTTGCTCGATCGAAATAACATGCGTTTTCGGGCTATCGTCCGGATCTTCGTCTCGCCCTACGTCAAGTTCAGCTACACTTCCGGTCTCTTCCATTATTTTGGACAATAGACCGAAGTCTCGCCAGAAATCAACTCCCAGATATATATCTTGCTTCAGCCCTGGAATCACAAAAAATTCGACTGGATGTGTACGATTTCGATAATTGATGTCTGCCACGAGTCTGCCTACGACGGGGCACTCGGAGTTATTCGCGGTTTTAATGCGACCTGAACATTTTCGTAAATTTGGGTTCTGAGCTAAGTCTCTAGCAGCGTTGCCTCCGATACAGCTTATCGTTGCTCCTGAATCGAGTAACGCCACATAGCGCTTACCCACTAAATCGATTTCCGTGTATAAACGGTTATCGGAATTCATAAAAACTGCTGCTATCAACTTTTTCCGGTTCTTTCGAACCTTGTTCCAAAATGATCGTGCTCTTAGTGTTGAACGTCCGGGTTTGTGAGTGTCAATACTGCTGCAAACGTCTGCGAATATTCTTCGTCTGGCTTCAGCGTACTGTGCTTCACGTATATGATAAGGTTGGTTAACTTTTGCTGTGTTTGGATGTACTTTTTGCAGATTTGAAACTTCACACGGTTCTGTCTGCGTACCACTACTGGATTTTAATGTTTCGGATGCGACGCGTGGATTTTGGCCGACGCATCCCTTTGTCGGTTTTCCGATGGTCTACAGTGCTGACAGTTTGGCTTAAAAGTGTTCTTGGCTCCGCATCCATAACAGAAGATGCTGCGAACTTCGAGACACTCGTCGAACCTATGGCCTATCTTATCGCAGTTCCAACATCTTATCTGATTAGTCTGTAGGGCTGACACATCTTCTAGTCCTACATCCTCAGATTCCTGTTCTAGTTGAGCAATATAAGGTCGTGTTCCAACTTGGTTCTTCCCTTGCTGCGGTCTATTCTGCTTACAAAACTGTTCGTGTGTTCGTATCTCTTCCCTTAAGGTGACTAA